GCATCTTCTTTGGCAGCCCTGGCTACTGATGGCAAATAGTTAAATGCCTAACAGGTGATAGTGTACAAAACAGGCACTGCTCCGAGCCAAAAATTAAAGGTCAAAACTTGTGTTGTCTTGTTAGCAGCAAAACTAAGAAAAATTCCTTTGTGTTTTCAGGCAAGTTGCTTAACCAGTCCATGTCTGCTGGCACAATACTTGTGAATCTTCACTGACATTTGCTGACTATTTTGGGATCATTAGATAAAGCCTCATAGGTATAAAAGCAAAGTGCTTATTATCCTTATTGAAGCTTCCAGTTATAACAAAGAAACCGTAAGAGCCACTCAATTTAGAAGAAGATTAATTCAGAAGTCTTAAATTCCTCTGGCTGGTGCTGTGCTAATGCAATACCACTGTGGGAAAGGCCAGGAGGGAGGGCTGTGATGCCAGTAGGGCTGCATTACTGGTACAGTATCTGTGCAGGAGGAGACTCCCAGCAGTACCCGTATGACCTGGGTAAGTCACAGAGATGTGACCACATCACTGTCCTGTGAAACAGTGCAGATGAGAGGGAAGCTCTGCACTTTTACTTGGAGGGCTGATCTATCACAAGTGATGATGATGTTATAAAGTGAGCTTATACCTGGTCAGCGCCTTTTGTTGTGGATGTAGCTTTCTGATTTGGTGCTCAGGAGCTTGGGAATGGAGTGGATGGTCCTGATGGCCGTAGCCTGTGTGGAGAGGAGCCAGAGGGGAAAACGGTCAATTCAATCGTAGTACAAAGAGACATGAAGAGTGCAGTAGATTAGCTAAGGCAGTCATTTGGGCAAATGACTTACTGCACTTGATGAAAGTGGAGGTCCCCTTCTTGCTCCCAGCTGCAGGGCCCTGTCCTCACCATCCAGCCCACTCTGGGGTGTGTCTGACCCTTCTCTGAGCCACCTTAACTTGCTAACAAAGCAGAAAGCAATCCTTTTCCTTTTTTCAGTGTTCATTTTCTACCAGACTGATGAGCTGAAATGGCTCATGGAGATATCCAAGAAGCATCAGGTGGTAAAGGGCAATGGGAGGGCAGAATGACAACAGTAGTATCCTTCAGTGAAAATGAGCTGTTAAATCTGCTCATCCCCTCTCAGGAAACTGATACATGAATGTTATGAATATTATCTCACGGATATGAATATGTATTTGTGTCTGAAATTCTTTATAACTAAGCCACCTGCGAAGTACTGTAAGCTGGTATAAACCAAAAAAGGCTGCTGTCTTGCTGTGCCATGCCCTCCCTTGGGCCAGCACAGGCTTTAAACCCCATTACAGAACTGAGCTCTGATTTCTCCTGATTTTCTGGTTTTTGCAGAACAGATTTGGCTGAAAGCTAATCTGGCAAAAAAACTAATTTCCACAGTATCTCATTGCACAGGGCTACAACTGTGCATGCTGGCACATGAAAGGGAATGGATAGGAACAAACAGCTGTGGCAGGGAGGGAGCAGAAGTCTTCCTCTGGGGGGTAAAGCCAGTTTATGCTGCTTACAGCATTAGTTGGATGATGATCTCCTTAAAATGAAATATGGTTTAGATTTCTGTAAAGGAACCAAGCAGGCAGCCCCTCTTCAATGCACAGCAGTATAGTAAAGCCAATTCTCATTATTAATCAGTTTTAAAAGTTGTTGTATTTTACTCTAAGTTTAAAGTGGGCATACGGATAACAGTGATGACCCTATTCTTGGAAGTTTTGCATGCCTGACAAGGAGAGGTGTATGTGACTCTGCAGCTGCTTTGGGGGTTAGGATCCTTCAGCTCTCAAAGGTTCTTGGGGTATTTTTTTTTCCAGGGAAGTATTTTTTGGTCCCATTTTTTGATGATCCCATGCAGAAACAAATGATGTAGGGATCTGATAAGCAAAACTTACCTTCAGCTCTCTTTCACCCCATTGACACAGGCTGTAAGTTTCTTAAGAAGTGCTTTATGGGGATTCCAGTTCAACTCTCTTGGTACTCCCATACTTGGCTTGCCGTGCCAATATAAGAGCTTTCCTCGCTGCATTTTTAGCTACATTGGAAGAACTTGGTTTTGGAAAAAAGCGCTGTCCCCTTTGCACTCCCCACCCCAAGAAGACAAACATCATGGCCAGCCCTTTGATAAAGGAAAGGGTTTCTATTCAGACAGTTGTGTAGACTGAAGCCCCAGAGACAGTTACTGGTAAAACCCTGATATGTAGGTGTTAATTGTTACCAGCTGGCTTCAAAGGCTTTCAGACTGTTTCAGCATAAACAAACATGCAGTGCACCCAGAACACAGTAATGTCTTATTTGTAATACCATGCATAACTTTCAAACAAACACCATCAGAAGGTAAACACACTGGTGATTCCTCTTCAACCTTTCTTTCCACCCTCTTGTTGATGTGTGATAATGAAATACAATCTCAGTTTCTGTAAGATAAGCATGCACATCTAAATATAACCTTTTCTTTCTGTAAGTCCTTACAGTGTAACCACTGACAATTTGAAACCTGATGTTTATGCTTCAGGTATGGGGCTGGGGCCAAAATTGCTTTAACTTTTTCCAGACGTATCAGTTGGTTTAACACAAGACACCATCTCCATCAACAAGATCCAGCCAGCTCCAGTTACAGTACACATCACTTGTGCTTTCAGGACTTGAGAAAAACCTGATCATACCACATGTACTCCTGAATATGCCAGACCTTGCCCATAAAGAGAGTGAGAGGGAAAGTGAGGGAGAAACAGGGACAGCAAAGTCTTTATGTTCACAGTCAATTATTAACCTACACCCCCCTGCTCTCTGTAGCCAAAGCCATATAAGCACAGAGAGCCAGGCTTCCCACCAGCACATCAGCAGCTGAGACAGAGCCTTTCAGCTCCTCCTGCATTCTGCTCCCACTGACTCAGCTCTGAGACTGCTGTGTGGGATTGCTCCCCCTTGCCATTTCTCAAGAGCAAAGAAAGGTGTGAGGAGCTGTTGCCTCCCTGCCCCAGGTTCCCCTGTTGCTCCCTCCTCACAAACCCAGCTTAGGAATTGCTAGGAGCTATACCAAGTCTTTCCTTTTCCCCTTTCTTGGTTATTTTTCCTGTGAATCATTTCCATAGCCCAGCTGACCTGCTGGTCCCTCCGGCAGTGGAGAAGAATAATTATGTAGCATGATGAATGCTTTATGGTGGCGCTGACCCACAAGAAACCACTGAGCCCTTCCCTGCTGTTGGGAGCCAGCAGTGAGCTGGCTTGGGGCTGAGCCAGCATGGACCCAGCAGTGGGTCAGGATGGCCACATGGGCTGACTCCAGGGAACCTTTCTGCTGCCTTTAGCATACCCAGCACTGCCCTGCGTGCCCTGGAGGTGTTTCTGGCCTGCTATCTTACCCACCGTGTTTCCTGAAGAAACAGTATTCCTGTTCCTTTGCATTGCTGCTTTGCTCTGGAGGGAAAAAGAAGTCTTTTTTTTTTTTTTTTTTCTGGTTCAAAGCATATGGGATGCACATTTGTGCACTTGCACATGCAAGCACACGCACATACCCAGGAAAGCAGTTCTAGATAAGGTTTAATAGACTATTTCCCTGTGAAATGCTGTGGGCTGGTGGCAGACATCTCCAGATTTGAAAAGCCAAAGAGGAATTATTCACCACTGCAGCAGTTTCACACTCTGCCTATGCCTGCTCCTGAGGAACCAGCATAAACTTTCTGCTCATGGGAGTTTATGTGGCATTATCCCCATCTCATCCGCAAAGTTCACTATTCACTTTAACCACCAGCTTAGGCTGTTTTCACCCATTCCACTGAAACCCTGGTATTATCATTTGTTTGTGTTTTACACAGCTCAGGGCCTGGATGCCTTTTTGAATGCTAATGTTGGTGAGACATTTACTTTTACTGCAGCAATAGTCCCCTTGTACTGTATGATGTCATGCTGTGGTTTGAGGTTTTTATGCAGTCTTTTCTTTGCTTTGTGGTGATTTTCAGTTGTACACATATCCATGTGTATATTGACCTGTAATCATTGTAATGGTGTTGGGCTGCCTCATGTATTTGCACTATGTTGGATGGGATCTGGTGGTAGGTAAGATGCAGGGGGCACTACTCGGTACCAGATGGTACAGAAAGATGTACTCTGCAGAGTATCAGGTGTTTGGAGTGTGCTGCAGAGCCCTGAGCCCATTGTGCGGATTGTGTGGCTTTGCCATGCCACATGTTGAAGGGTATGAGCTGTTGCCATTTTGGGCTTACGAATTTCTGCGCGTGTTGCTGTATGCTACACAGTAGCTGTGGTGCTTGCCTGCACTTTGCTGTGTGGTATAGGAAGGCACGTCTCGTGAGGTCTTGTGTTGCTACCTCGGTAGGTCAGGGGTGCGCAGCACACAGCTGTTCTGTGGCCCTGGTCATTGCACCACGGTGTAGGTTACTGCGCATTACTTCTCTCTAGCTGTGTTTGCGTGCCCAAGGGCCTGCTCTGCTTGTGTGTGCTCCGTGCTGTGAAGGCCACTCAGCGAGGGCTGCGCTGTGCTAACAGTGGCACAACCCGGTGCTGTGCAGGCAGGGAAGGCTGTAAGGTACTTGAGGCGTCATTCCCTCGCAGGGCTGTGCGTTAGAGCGCGATGCCCCTGTAGAAGGCCGTTACAGGTCACTACCGGCAAGGACCGGGCAGAGCGCTCCCGCATGTGTGCGGCGTGGCTGCCCCGCTCTGCACAGCGGCGGGCACCTGTCCCCGGGATGTACCGGGAGGGCGCGGAGCTGCCCGGCGTTACGCGCCGCGGGCCCTGCGAGGCAGCGGCTCCTTTAAGCGCGGCGCTGCTCGGCACGACCTGCCCGGCACCGCCGTGCCCCGCGCCCTTGGCCACCGGCGCCGCCGCTGCCGGCCGCTCCCTCAGCCGCGCGGGGCCGCCCCGCCCGGTCCGTCCCGCGCCTCCCCGGAGAGAGCCGGGCGGGGAGGGGCGGGCACAGCGGCCCGCGCGGCGGAAGGAGGCCGCGGCCTCGCTCCCGGCGCTGCCCGCGCGCGGTGAGGCGCAGGCTCCGCGCGCACCTGCCGGCCCGCCCCCGCCGCGCCGCGGGGCCGGGGACAGGCACCTGCCGGCGCTGCCGGGCCAATCGCACCTGCGCCGCGATACATCCCCCCCAGAGAGCTCCGGCCGGGCCGGGCAGCGCCGCCGCGGAGGGCGCCGTTTCTGGGCGGGCAGGGCATGGCGGTCCGCTGAGATGAAAGTGACCGTGTGCTTCGGGAGGACGGGCATCGTGGTGCCCTGCAAGGACGGGCAGCTCCGCGTGCGGGACCTCACCCAGCAGGCCCTGCAGCGCTACCGCAAGGCCCAGGAGAAGGTGAGGGCGCGGGGCCGGCCTGCGTAGTGGGGGGCGGTGGGTAAAGGTCTGCGCGAGGGGATGGCCTGGGGGAAGGCCCGGGGCCGGTGCGAGGGACGGCTGGGGGATCGGTTACCGGACGGCGGGAGGGCTGGGTTGGAGGGGGTCCGGCGGAGGCCCCGCGGCCCCACGGGGGGTGGTCCTGGTGGTGCCTGTTTCGCGTGGGCCCGTGCTGTCGAGTCTCCCGCCACATAGTTGGTGTGAGCAGCTGATGCTGGCGGTCCGGGAGTGCGTCCCACTCGGTTAACGAACAACCATGGTTGATTTTACGTGGTTTGAGGTTTCTTATGTTGCTGCTGTGCGTGTTGACTAAAAACTTCATACAGACGCAAGCATAACTTATGTTATTTTTATGAAAGCTTGTGTTTTCTGGCATTAACTGTTCAGTGTGGTGCTATCTGCATGGGTAGTGACTTCCTTTATATGAAAGGAATTTGAGTTTTTCTTGGGTTGTACCTAATTGAGCATAAAAATACTTTTTTCTGTTTCCTCCAAGAGGCAAGTGCTGCAAGCTAATGGGATAATGTTTAATATGGATGAAAGGCCTAATGGTGCAAACACTGCTTTGTGAAAAAGATGCGAGTTACAATCCCTGAATTAAGGCCTTGTAGGATTGTTCATCCTCATAAGACATCTGAATAAAAAGTACAGCCGGTGGCTTACGAGACTTCTGTGCCCTGGGCTGGTTTCTCCTGTGCTCCATCAATGCTGTGACATCCTGAGTGCAAAACTGGAAGTAAAATTCTTGTTCTTGTAGGTTTGTTTTGAGGAAAAGTTGCTACTGATATGTGAAATCCATCATGAACAGCTGAGACTGCTCTGTGGTAGAGGTTATCGTGGTCACTGTTAGTCTTTCTGAGCAAGTGGCCTGCTTTAAGCTGCCTTAAGAGTCATAGACCTTTAGAAATATTTTGTGTGAAAAGTCTTTTTTTCTAATGAGTATTGTGTGTGTGTAACAACAGCATAGTACTTACTTATAGCATTCTTGGTGTTGTTACAGTCTGTGAGATCTTTCGCACCAAAGTATGGTTCAGAGGACTAAAACAGATATGAGGTCTCTTCAAGAGTGGGGTTTGTCAGAAACAGAGTTAACTCTCAGCTTGACTTGAACTTAAGCATTTTAAATTTGATTTCAGCTTTGATTTGTGGTTGTGATGATGATGGCTGAAAGGTGGCCTACTTTGTGTGAATACTTCAAATGCCTTTCCTTCTTTCCTCGGGGGGGGGATATGATTCCTTTAGAGAAGAGAAGGGTGTCTACATTTCTAGGTAGGGCCCTGACTGTTCTAGAAGGCTCAGTAAGCAATTTATAGGAGAGCAGTTTCAGCACCAGAAAGGTTCAGGTAAATGCCAGAGTTTTATTGTGCTGCAGTCCAATAGTTTTTCATGCTTTTATATCTGATCTGCTATTTGGGTAATATTTGAAGAAAATCGGTTTTAGGCTAAGCAGTCACCTTCTGTGTCCCGCTCATTGTCAGGTCAGAATCATCCAGCCTTCCCTATAGGACAGCCAAAGGGCAGAGTTCACATTTCTGACCATGGTGTATTTCCTGCCTTTGTAAACAAAACTTTTCTCTGGCTGTTTCCTTATAGAAGTCTTGTGTTCCCTGCTCTGCATTGTAGATGGGTGAAGTGGATATGGGCCAGTTTGTTAAAGAATTGCTGTTCACCTTGAGGAATGGTGATGCAGTGCTTGTACAAGGACATGTAAAGAGGCAGGGTGGGGGAAGCAACCAAAGGACTTGAAAAATAGAGAACAGGTTTTCGTTCAAGTCACTGAAGAAAGTTTTATGACTCTGCATCCTCTCCCCCCACATTCACTGGAAATTTAAACAGCTCCCTTCCAGTGCTTTAGTTAGTTAGTTTTCAGTCTACATGATTTATGGTGAAACTAGCCAAAAAGATAGATGAATTTCCTCTTATCTTGACAAGCATCATTTAGGGTTAATGCTCTTTCCCAAGGCAAAATTTGAGGGGGTAAAATAGATCATACAGAAGTCACAAACAATTAGTTTTATTACCTTGCAAAGAGTTTTTGTTCAATTTAACAAGGATGGATTGGGTGTTTGGCCATTTTCCTTCTATGGGCTCTTTCTAAAATTAACTTTCTTTACAAAAGTGTAGAATCTTAGAGAAAAGAGCTGCTTATCTCAAGATAATCAGCATTGAAAATCTGCTGTGAGGTGTGGGAGCATAAACAAGTTTGTGTTAACAGAAGATTTGTTTTTCTTTTCAGAATATCTAGAATGCTTGGAATACTTCCTGTGGCCAAATGCTAATGCTGCTGTGTCTGTTGGCATGTTAAGTGTTCTTTAATTTTGTTTCAAGTGTTAAAAGCTTTTATAAGAAGGAAGTGGAGAATGGGACTGTTTAAAGTGCCTGAAATATTTGTAGAAGGGAGGAAAGTTCATACAAGGAATATCATCCATAGTTGGAGAATGGAAAATGAGAAAGGTAGCTGCAATACAAGCTTTAGGAAATTTTTATTCGTTATGGTACTGCCAGATACCACAAAAATGTGTGTGTGAGAGGCTCTCTGTTTTGGGGGTTGTTCTGGAAGCCTGTTTTGCTATTACACTGCAGTCACTTGCCTGATAGTGGAAGATGCAAGGTTAGATATTAATCAGTATACATGTATACTGTAAAATATTCGAATTTGTGTGTAAAAATAGCACATTTTTAAATAGGTTTAGACTACGCGGCAATGCTTTATACTTGAAATGAGAGGAAAATCGATGCAGTAAATTACTAAGTCTGTTTCTGTGAGACTTTTGGTAAATAGCTGAGAACTCAGTTGCTGATTGTAGCCTGCTGTGTTTTCTTAGCAAGTTTGATTTGGTTTCTTGGCTGGGCCGTGTTGGCAAGGTTTGGTCATGAAGGCTCAATCGCTCTGTTAAATGAAACAAAATATTGGGCCAGTTTCAGCTGAAAAATCAAGCCAGTGATTATTTTGTGATGCTGCAGAGTTTAGCAGTGGGGTTTAGAGGTACTGTTGCAGTTCTGAATGGGCAGGTCTTGTCTGGTGCACTGAAGGATACAAGTATCTGTCTGGACTTATGAACTATTTTCTGCATTACAGTATCAATTAGGAGATTTCTGTGTTCTGGGATTTTATTATATAAATAGTCTTAGATAGAATCATAGAATAGTTTGGGTTGGAAAGGACCTTAAGATCACCAAGTTCCGACCCCCCCTGCCATGAGGAGGGGCAACTCACATTAAACCATGTCACCCAAGACTCCATCCAACCTGGCCTTGAACACTGCCAGGGGTGGAGCATTCACAACTTCTTTGGGCAACCTATTCCAGTGCCTCACCACCCTCACAGTAAGGATCTTCTTCCTTGTATCTAGCCTGGACTTCCCCTGTTTAAGTTTGAACCCACTAACCCTTGTCCTATCACTACAGTCCCTGATGAAGAGTCCCTTCCCAGCATCCTTGTGTTTAAGAAAATGTTCAGTTGTGAGAATTGTAAATAAATTTTCAGGGAAGTGACTGTCATCTCAGAAAGTAACTTGTGTTTTAGTGGTACAACGGATGCTCAGTGGTACTTTGCTGTGGCACAGGTTCTGCTTTAGTTGCAGTTTAGTACTGTTGTGTGTTAAGGCTTGCTGCTGACAGGTGGATACAGTAGGATTAATGATTCCCTGTCAGCCCAGTCCCTTAGTACTTCTTGTAACCGGTGGTTTTGGTGCCTTGGGGGAGCACTTGCATGTCATCTGTTGTATTTAGGATTCTTTGCTCGAGTGAGAGCAGATGTACTGCAAAATACTTGGGTTGCTGTGCCTGGTGGTGCGTGTGCTTCTCTGTGGCTATAAGGCATAGCCCATAGATGTAAGACAAGGTACCTCACTGATTGTTTTCCAGTGAGTTGTGAGAGACCTTTTCCTTGTTTGCTTTTCCCTGAGTATGTGGATGAGAGAGGGAGAAAGAAGGGTTCTGGGTCAGCACTGAAGGGTTCCATATGCTCTTGTGATGTTTGGATCTGAGTGGTCCTTTTGACAGCAGTTCCTCAATGCATGTGGGGCTAAATGCATCCAGGCTAAATGCACCGTTTGGCTCATGGTTCTCCCCTTTGAAATGTGGCTTCCCCCAAGTAGGAGACAGTATTTGAATTGGTAGCTTTGTAGCAAAGCCCTTGGTTCAGCTAGAGATGCTAGTTGGCTAACTGAAAGGTCTTTAGTGCTGTTGGTACAGAAAGCGATGTATGCCCTGGCTCAAACTAGCAAGTGAAATCCGCAATGACTTTTCTCTAAGCAGCAGTGAAACTTTTCCCAGGAAAATGTATAAAAACATCTTGCCTCTCCTAGGGTTTTTTTATCTCTCTGGAGGAGCCAGAGATGGGGAAGTGGTGTTTATCATCTGTGTACTATTTTACTCATGTTTGCATGCATGGCACTTAACCTAGATAACTTGTCTGAAGTGACTACTTTGGCTGTTTGAAGTCTTGTTCGTAGAAGCCAGTTGAGTGGATGAGACATGGAAGCCATGTAGCAAAGTTAATGAGCACTGCAATTTCTTGGTTTCATATCAGTTTTAAATATGTCATTTTAAGTTGTATTCTTGAGTGGCTCACTTAGCCTTTGTGGGCTTCTCTTTAGGAATGCTGACACACACAATCAAATATTAATTAACTGTCTTATAGGGACTTGATCTCCAGTTGTTGTGGGCTTTAGAGTGTATCCACTGATGTGAATGTACAGAAACCAGCGGTTGATTCTGGAAGGTAATGGTAGTTTTGATTGGCAGTCAGACTGAGTAGAAAGCAGTAATACAGTGACTAAGTTGATTCAAGAATTGTGCATATTTGATTAGAGCAAAACCAGTGTGTTGTTTTGGATGTATTGGTGATCTTTCCCAAGCTGGATGCCTTTAAGGAGATAATGCTGCAGATTGACTGTCTCAATAGTTTTATATATATATTTATAATTCCTACTAATAAAATACTTTTTCCTTTTCTT